ACCGCACCATTGCACAGCAACCAATTATCTCGGAAGAACCGACCGACAACCGGCACCCTTAACATGGTTAGTGCGTGGTCCAAAGCAAGGAACGGCGAGTTCGAAACCGACAGAAAAAGCGGCAATTACACTTGGGCTCAGGAGCATTAAGCACATTGTGTATAAATTTGGAGCCTCTGCTGCATTTAGTACTGCCGCCGCACGCTCCATGTACTGCACAGCTCGGGCCTGGTATTTACGTTCCCGTCGAACATGGCGATTGTAACTAATAACTGATTATCTACACACCATCCGAAGATGTCTACATAGTGTCCTCCCTTTCGCCCATACGCCCACAGCCAAATGCGACGAGCAGCCAGATGAAGAGAGCGACCCTGGCAGGGAATTGATTGATAATAGTTTCTAATCAATTTTCTGACAGCACACAAGACAACTGGCGCACGGATCGGCTCGACACCCTTCCGCATCACAGACACCACGGTGAGCGCACCATCGTCGCCCAGCGCCGCGGCCGGAGCCGGGTCTCACCGCTCGACGAAGTTGAGGCAGGAGACGCCGTCCTGGCCGCCGACGGCGTACAGGTAGCCGTCGAGCACGGCGACGCCGACCGAGGTGCGGCAGCTGGAGGTGGGAGCCACCTCCGACGACCACTGGTTGGACAGCGGGTCATACCTGGCGGCGGCGGCGGACGGACGGACGGCTGAGGCACGGCACTTCCAAACGGCCCCGGAGCCCAGCGAGACCTTCGTCGACGCGGGTGGTGAGTGCCAGTTGACGCGGAGAGGGCTAGATATCGTTCTATATAGCACTGTGATGTGGACAGGGGCGACCACTGACCGAACACATACCAGAAATGGCGAGATGTTCCCACCCTCCTCGCCAGCACCGGCATCCTCACAACTGCGAGGCGCCACTGCCATCGAGCCGCGCCGTTCCGGCGGACACCGCGGGCGAGAGCAGGCCCGAGAAGTGCCTTCGGCCCTGAGGCACGCCTGCCATTACCTCTCGATACTGTTGAGGTAGGAGTGGCCGTCGTGGCCGCCGACGGCGTACAGCAGGTCGTCCAGCACGGCCACGCCCACGCCGCAGCGTCGCTTGGACATGGGCGCCATCATGCGCCACTCGCAGGTCTGCGGGTCGAACTGCTCCACCGAGGCGATGGCGTCGCCGCTGCACCAGCCGCCCACTGCCGCGCGTGCAGGGCAGCGCCGTTAGTGTCGGCTCGCCGCGCACAGTTCAGGGGCACCTCAGTCAGTGACAGGACGGGGACGTGCTAGTTCTATGGTAGGGTCATCTTACTGTCGACCTGCTCCCAGTGCCCTCATACTGTCGAACCGCCCCCAGAACTTTCAGACAGTGCTCTGCCCAGACGTCATAACAAAAACTGCATTCTCCTATGACGAAATCAGATGAATGCAGATAACGTTCACAAAGACGGAACAAACGACCAAATCTCCCACAAACCTCGCAACAACGGCGATCTCCTCCCGACATGGGTCGCAGATATGTCCTCTACCAACACACTCTCCAAATAAAGCCCGTCCTGCCGCGCTGTGACCGACGGGCCGCGTCCCCAGACCAGCAGCCCCCTCCCTCTCCCCCATGAGCTCGGGGCTGTAGGCTGCGTCTCACCTGCGAACAGCACCTCGCCGCGTTTGATGGGCTTGCGGGGCCGGGTGCGCGGCCCCTGCATGAGCGGCCGCTCCTGCGGCAGCAGCAGGTAGTTTTTGGCCTCGTCCACCAGGTCTCGGCAGCCCTCGTCCGACTTGATGAGCAGGTCGGAGCCCACCGTGCCCACCAGGAACTTGGGGTTCAGCAGCGGCATGCGCACGTGCTGCAGAATCTGACGGCAGAGGGAAGGACGTCAGCCGGCGGGCAGCTCGGTCGACCGGCGGAGATCGGGACGGTCGCCGGGGGTGATGGAACTACACAAACGCAGGCGGACATGGCCAGTAGGTAAGATTGACGATTACACAGCTCGTGGCATTGTGAGCTAGCCACCTCAAACGCCCCTGACACATTTACTAATCAGGTCCTTTTTACTATTGCTTCTCATCTAGAATGACAGCCTTACTAGATTCCACAAAAAGTCGACATTTTGCTTGTCACAGCAAACAAAGCAATGATAGCCTCATCAACGAGTACTTCCCACGTCACAAGCCCCGCCCTGCGCCGCCAGCCTCTGCGGCCTCGGCCGACGCGGCTGGCGGCGTGCTCCATCGGCGCCATCGCCGCACCTGCAGCAGGTGGTGTCGCCGCTCCGAGATATTGTACTTGACCCAGGACATGACGGCGCTGTACACCTGCTCCTCGTTGCGCACGTTCAGCTCGTCTGAGGAGATGATCTCCACCAGCTGGTTGACGGGCAGCAACAGGAACTCCTCGCTCTCCATCACCTGGAGAGGGCGCGGCGCGCCAAGCTGCGTCAGCCGGGCGGCGCGACCGAGACCGGCGGCAACAGCCGCACACACCGGTCACCCGGCCAAGCGGACATCGTCATGACAAGCACGCAACGACCACAACCTAGATCAGTCACGGGCGTTGTCCTACAATTCCTCCAACGAAGCCGGCCTCACCAACACATCAGCCCCACCGACAGGTCCGGCTGCGCCACAGCAGAGCAACACCCGCAACATACGACCGAAGCGAACGAGTCTGTCCCAAACCACCGCGAGAGCTCCCCAGCGCCGCACGTCCCAGCCGCGCCGACCGCCGTCTCCAGGCGCCTGACCTCCTGGAAGTTGTGCTGGGTGAACTTGTCGGCGATGCGCAGCAGCTCTCGGCAGGCGTGCGTGTCGGCGAACGCCCGGATGCCCAGGCAGTTGGTGGGGTCGAGCTGGCGCTTCAGGAACTCGCAGCACACCTCCTGTATCTCGGTCAGCTGCAGCAGGCACGCTGCAACGGCGGCGCACGGCGCTGACACGCCGGCACCGGGGCGCCGAGTCGCGTGCGCGACCCCGCACGGGCGTCGACAGGTCAGCCGATCGGCACGGCACGCGGGGAATCCTGCACGGCTGCGATGCGATGAAAACTGTCTGAGGAGCATGCGCACGCGCACGCGCACGCGCACGCACACACACACACAGCACAGCGCCGCGTCCCGCGCACGCCACGCACGCACGCACGCACTCGCGCGCACGCCCGCACACACACACACAGATGTTTGAAGCACTTCTCACCGACGCTGCGCTCCAAAGTGCGCCTCCGACGGCCCAGCGTAGGAAAGGTGCAAGGGTGGTACGGCCGGCGTTCACAGCTCAGCACGGACCACATGGGAGGGGAGGGGGAGGTGGTACGACCGACGACAAGCCCACAATGCGGTGAGCAGTGTGGCGAAATGGCCCGCATGAACAACTGGCGGCGGTGTGGTGGGCACGATCAGGTGCGGCGATAGGCCCCCTCCCCCTACCCCCCCCCCCCCTCTGCGCAGCTGAAGGCTGCGTGTAGAAAGGCTCGGCCGGTCGCGCGGGGCCGTCACAGCTGTCCCTGGCGGACGGCCGCCGCAACCGCCGGCAACGGCCGGCACAAAATAAAACATCACACGCATATGCACGTAAAAGGGTGGCAGCCCCGTCCAGACCGACCAAGCGAACCCGGCGAAAGCTTGGCGGCTGTGGAAGCTCGGCGGTTTCGGAGTTGGTCCACAGCCACCCCTCTCTCTCCCCCCCCCCCCCCCCCCCGCCACGCGCCACTCCGGGACGAGCAACCGCAAGTTGGGACAACCACCAACAATGAAAGGACGCCTGGGTCTTGTTTTGGACGCAGGACTTGCACTCGTCTCACGTATCAATGAGAAGTGATGTGAGCACACGAAACATCTTTTAGCTGCAACCGTCATGACCCAATGATTGTCGCTTAGATGAAAAAGGCTGGATGAAACGTAACATCCATAACAAACGCAGCTTTCTTGCACTAGCATGCCCAAGTCGAGGCCCAAAACAAGACTGCTTGACGGCAAGATTGCCGCTAGCCTAAAATCATACTTCCCTGTCACAAGGAGGCGGTATACCGCCTCTCTTCTCTGTACAGTCACATTTTCGATGGTGCAAACACCACTGGCCCCTTGTTACATCTCCACGTGCTTTGGTTAAAACGCTGGCGTGATAATATATCAAACGATCTCGCTGTGCAGCGGAACCGT